CACTAGTTATTGACACAAATAGATAGGTTCAAAGTTACTTAGGATTACAAGGAATTTAATAATGTTTGAGTTTAAAGAAATATAAAGGATTTAAAGAACACTTAATTGAAATGGCGATGTCCAAATTCCGCTTTTATTATCAAATTTACTCTTTTAATTGCAGTATCCAATGAATCTTCTCTAATAATTGTTTATATTGCTTGTAATTTAAATTCAATAATCACTTTGTAGCTATATAATATCAATAGATAAGTTCTTCTTATTGCTTTGAAGTTTTCAAGTCGAAAATTAGAAATTGTGTTTTACTTTCTTTGTTTTTTATCTCGTCCTGTCACGGTCGCCAATATTTTATGTTAATACATAAAATGAAACTCCAAATAATCCAATGGTATGCTTCTATTTTTCACAATGCACGTTTTTGTATTAAAAATTGAATGAACAAAATATTTTCTAGATGATATTTGAAATAGGAAAAGTGTAGAATAAAAATACAAAGGTAGGTAATAAGAAAAATATGCGCTGTGAAAATTTCTATTAAAATCAAGCACTCTATATCACATCCTAAATGTTCTCAATTACAGTCAAATTGAATACACAATCAAAAATACTGTTAATTTGTAACTTAACTATCCTATCCGGTGTAAATAAGTGTAAATGTTGTATTTGCTTTGTTTTTGAAGTGCTTTATTGATTTTCTTGATGAAAGAAAGAAATTTATTTATTGACCTCAAATACATAGTCAAAAACAAGTAAAAGAAAAGGAAAAATGTGAGGCTAAGATGGGGTCCTATCTCAGCAAAGGCTCCTGTATCATTCATAGATGGACTTCTGTCCAACTTCTGTAATACGAAGGGCACTTACAGGAGTCTTACAGTTGCGTCGATAAAAAGAAAATTATATGCAAGAAAAAAAACAAACTAAATGAATATTTGATAAGAGCGGAATAATAAGATAATACATATTATATTAAAATAGCCCATTCTCTCCCAAATCACCGACGCCGAAAGAAAAATCAAAAACTACAAATACGGCTGTATGGTAGTGATTCGTCAGCCAGCAGTTACCAAACAACAAATAAGTATGACTCACTCATATAATGAAAAATGCTTATAAATTCCACTTTGTCCCTGATACTCTGCGATGGAGGTAATAGGGACAAAGTGAATTTTTAAGCATTTTTCATTTAGAATATTTTCTAGTATAACATTTTGAATGGAAAATTTATCAAATAAAATGCTTTATTGATGTTAGCTTCATAGAAAAATAGGAGAAAATAATTTTTATTAACGTTTTTTTATGTAGTTATTAAACCTGAATAACTACTATACTAGATAAAAAAATGTCCCCTAACTCATTGCCATCAGATGAGGTGCCCAGAAGACTGCGAACGTTTATTTGAACGGGTCATCAAAAACATTAAGAAGGTTAACAGTTAGGAATATTATTTGTTTTTACATTTATTTATGGTAAAAACTTTTCTCATACTTATTTTAATAAAACTTAGGTAATAAGCGTAGGTCGTTAATAGCACGAATCCTTGGCCACATTCGAAGTGACGTCACATTCGACATATGACAGAAGGCTGTGTGTATTCGAAAGGAGGTCTATTCTCTAGATCTGATTTTCTGATTATAGCCTTCGTAATACGATACTGTTGTCGTTCACTGTGCTTTGGTTAGGCAGTATCAACAACTAAGAATAGTATCGTTTTGATATAAAGCTTTTGTAATTTCAATGTCGAAAATATGCAAAATTTTACCTTATCGTTTTCTCAATAGACTTCTGTAGCTGGACAAAATATTACATGTCAAATAAAATTTAGCAATTTATTTTGCTTATTTACATAATGAGCCCTGTTACGAAAGAGGACATGGCCATTAGTCTATAATATGTTTTAAAATGTACATTATTGTACATACTACCAACATTATTACAAACTTTAAAATTTTATTTTAAAATTGAAGAAGTGTACCTGCTTCTTCAATAAAGTTGTCATGTAGGAAATGAACTTTTCTATACTCTTTGTGAGTGTGTATCTATAGATGAGAGAAGTAATTGAGAAAATGTCATAGCTTAAGTAAATATATTAAACCAATAAACGAGAATTTTGGTTAAGTAAGAACTCGAGAGTTTTGGTTACGTAGCTCAGTGGCGTAGTCGATAAGCGCCGCGGCCCGCGATCGTTGTTGTTAAGCAACTTTCGCAAGGGTCGGTCACGGGATGGGTGACCAAAATATTATTATATCGAGCTACTCCGTGCTTCGGAAGGCACGTTAAACCGTTGGTTCCGGCTGCATTTTCAGTCGTTCACCCTCCAATCCGCATTGGATCAGTGTGGAGGGTGATGGCACATCCACCTTAACCATCCATAAGGAAAGCCTGAGCCCCTGCAGTGGGGACGTAAAAGGGAATAGTAAAAGTATTCACTAACTCATTCAAATTCTTTGTTTGTCAAAAATATGTCTTTAATTTATATGATATTCCATTATATAATTACTTGTATGGCTACGTATAAGCCACATACTTTGTATCTGAACAATACATATTACGTTGTTTAGTATTGATCTATTTTGGCCGTTTACTCAAACCCAAATCATTGACAGCAATATGGTTACTAACAGCGTAAGTAATAACTACTTAAAAGTTTAGACAATTCAGTTACATGTTCGGTAACTCAGAAGAGCACTCGATTACCTAAAAGTTGCAGATGAATGGCAAGCCTGGTTATTTTATGTGTTTATGTTTTAAAATTTTAATTTCAGTAGTTGTTTTCCTAATATGCGATACGACGATACGATCTCTACAGTACTAATCCTATACTCATATCATAAATTTGAAAGATTTTATTGTTTGCAAAGATACTTCCAAAACTATTGGACCTATTTTAAAAATACTTTCGCTCATTGGAAGCTACATTGTAAACACATAACATGGGCTATAATATTTGTGGGTGAAGTCACGGGAAAACATAATATTTATATAGCCAAGGCACCAAATGTGTGTCTATAATTATTTCTACGTTATATAGATCTTCAAGTACATTTTTTTTATCTATGCGTCTAGTTTATTGCCCTCATTATTTTGAATGCTACTCTTGAGACTGCGACCGCGGAACAAAGCCAGTTCAGAATGTAATGCGCTTACCGCAAGCTTAACATGATCTTTAGGGACACTGTCACAAGAAATTGTAACAGATCCCACGCTATCGATTAATGCTGGCTTCGCTTAATCTGACATATCGATTAAGAATGAATATTTCAGTATCCTAATATCTAGACAACTTTGATATCAAAACAACACAAACAACGTAATGTTGCAATAAAAACTATGTCGGTGTTTCATGATCAAAACTAAAATAAAAAAAGAACCAGAAAATACTACTCGTACAACATGACATCTAAAGGGTTATTATATTTCTTCGAAAACGAAATTTCATCTATGTTTGAAATGCTAATAGGCACCAAAAAATGCATTTTTCGATCACTTTCATCATTAATCTCTTCAAATGTGCTTTTGGTAAATCTCAAGTGTGGCTAGTAAATTTTGGAATTCATTAAACCTTTGGTGATTGTAGGAATTCAAAGAAAAGGAGTCAATTTTTCAGGCGTTTCCCAATGGTTTTATTACCATTAGAAATCAGCACGCGAGCCACACGAGATTAGGACACAGCGGTCGTCAGATGTAAGGTCGGCAAACGAAGTGTTGTGTTAGGACGTTTATTTGTATGGCTTTGCTTTCTATATGAGATAAAATTGATTTATTTGTGCTCAATCACCAATGTCTAAGCTTATCTAATAAGTCAACCGTAAGCAATTTGTTATAAATGTCAGTTTTTCTTAATATTTCAAATAAAATCAAACATTTTTCTCAAAAGACAAGCAGAACATTTAATCAAGAGAAAACCTCCACCAAATTGAAAATCATGGAAATAAGTCCAGCTAATTTGGCTTCGAAAGTAACGGATCGAGTTTGAAAATTCTTTTACCTACGGGAAGCTACATCATAGGCGGTTTACATAGGCTATATTTTATCCCGAAAAACAGCAAATAAAGGAATGAAAATGGGAATGGAAGTTTGTGCAGGGAATTAAAACGTTACCATAGTAATATAAAATTTGTCATTGTAATTGTATGTCATGATATGAATCGATACCCAAATTAACAACTCCCTAGGAATCCCGGACGAAGCTACTATCTATATAAAATAGATATTTCAGTATACACTTAACTTTTCGGTAATGCCAAAGGAGTGTGATATTCTTCTCTATATTTATTATACCAAAAGAGCCTAGCCGTAACAGTTACATTAAAGTAAGCTTAGTAACACGTAATGTGAAGGTGATCTCTTCTAAGTAATACTTAACGAGAGTTATGGGCTATTATCATGCTACAGTTCCCATTTTATTCTCTTACTAATGTTAATGCCAATTAGGAATAAAGTAATAACCATGGCGGTCTGATTATATCATTAAAGGAAATAATGAGCACCAGTGCACGAGTAGGTACCTTAAAACATTGAATAGGAAAAATGTAATGTAAATTAGTTTGTAAAGAAAGTAGCAGAATAAATTCGGTTCTCATTTCTGGATATAAAAGAGAACGTTTAAACAATTAAAATACCTGAAATAGAAGAAAGTAATCTATTTATTATCAAAGAGCCTAACAAATCAACCAATAGTTGATTTGATTGCGTTACGGTCTTTGGTAAATGATCAAAGTCAATCTTTTTCTTATCTCTTTTTCCCAAATACGAATGCACGAGTACCTGGATGACCGAGACTTATTCGTTATTTTTTTGCAAAATTGTGTTTTTTGTAAATTTTATAGTACTGATGAAATATAAACCTAATGACCTTGCCGCCATACAAAAAAAAAATAACTGATAACGAAAAACATGATTTACCAAATAAAGAATAAGCAAAGCTCGTTCATCTACCTGGATGAACGAGCTTTGCTGTTTATAAAATAATTATATTAAATGTCAATCTTCTTCTTTTTCAGATTTGACAGGACCAACCGTACGTTATGGCTTTCTGGAAGATATTCACAATTATATGTGCTGTTTCCGTCTACGCAGAATCAAAGTGGGACTATCGTCATAAGCGTGATGACCATACATCTATATGCGATCCAGTACAAAATACTACAAATAAGGTGCAATGTTACTGTGGTCGTTTAAGCCATCATCCAGACCAAATAGGCACCGCTGAATGTTACCAGACCGCAAACAATCTAAATTTAGATGACCCCAGTTGGGAAAAATTCAAAATATTGCAAAACGTCAGTAGATTAACACTGACAAACACAAGAGGGATAGCTATGAACTACATTCCCACTAATGCCCTTAAATATACCAAAGCTATACTGAGATTAGATGTCAAATATTGTACTATAGAGAATTTACACTCATATGCTTTTGCTAATTTAAGCTTGGTGGAAGAATTGACGCTAAGAGATAATCAAATAAAAATTATGGCAGTAAACGCATTTTCTCATCATGCACGACTAAAAACTATAAGTTTGGATCAAAATAATATTGCAGAAATAAACAGAAACGTATTTGTAGATTTACCATCATTGGAACAATTATTTTTGACAGCAAATAAAATAACCACTATTCATGATAAAGCATTTGTACATTTGGCAAATCTCAAAGAAATTGAAATAGATAAAAATAAAATTTTTAGCCTTAATAGTGAAACTTTTTCTGGTTTGAGAAATCTAGAGAAACTAGAATTAAGCTATAATAATCTAGAAGTCGTAGGAGACAACACATTTGCACCTCTAGTCAACCTCCGATTTTTGAATTTAGGCTACAACAAAATACAGATGTTGGATGAGAAAGCATTCAATGGATTATCGAGGTTACAAGTTTTATCTTTAGAAAATAATAAGCTAACTGCTCTTGAAAATGAAAAAGTTTTCGAAGGATTACAAAGTCTTACATCACTAAGTTTGAAAGACAATGAAATAAAAAATATTTCACAAGAAGTTATTTTACCTATATTAAGCAATTTTTATGGAAAAACTTCTTTATTAAATATAGACGGTAAAAACATATTTATTACATTTATATATATATTTATATTTTTTTATTGAAATCATAAGCTACTCGTATATGTATACATATTACATTTGTATCAGGAGATCGATGGTGATTGTGAAAGTTGAGCAACTTTCACAGAGTTCTGAAGTCCGTTTGAATAAACAAAAGTTTATTATTTCAAAGTAAATTGTGCTACAGGACATTAAACCGTTGGTCCAGATTCTACAATCATAAAGTCCAATGATGATGGGTCCATAACACGGCTGATGAATTATATCAAAACCGATTAAAAATCTAAGTGTTGTGAAAGTTAATGCTCTGTTTTTATTTTCAGGAAATACATTGGATTGCAACTGTCAGATCGATGTTTTTAAGCCAATAATAAATAAAACTCAAAATGTGCGCTTAAGCATTGATATTCAAAATTTGCAATGTCGTCCAAATGATGAAATCAAACGTAAATGGGATAAATTACAAGAAATCGCGAAAAATTCGGGACAAATTTTCGATGACGCCGAACCGCAAGGAGAGAGTGCTGCTTACGAATATTATGATGAAACCGAATTGAACGGTACTTTATTTTATTTTGATATGAGAACAATCTTGAATTGTTCCGGCGAAGACACAACGACACCTAATGTACCTGAAACTAGTTTTACACCAGCCGCTACAAGCAAATTATCTTCTATTAATAATGTATTTACCAAAACAACTACTAGTCCTATTTTGAACTTTGCATCAACAACAATTAAACCTATCGCAAAGAAACATCTACCTATTGAGGTGAACAGCAAAGATACACTAGACTTATCTGCTGCTGAGACTACGACTGAATCTCTTAAAATAAAAGATAGAAATATTCATACTGATGACAATAACATAGTAGATATTGACAGTATTAAAATAGCAGGACAAAAATCGGAACATGATGATAAACACGAGACCAGAAATGATAAAAAGGAAAATGTATATACAACAACTCGCCTTGCTACTGTGTCAGCGAAACCCATAGAAAATAAACAATATGAGGACATGGCTTCCGATGAGGCTAAACCAGATAGGTTAAAATCACATAGAAGTATTGAAGAACCAAGTGAAGATCCATCTAAGTTCAATAATAACAATGCACATAAACAAGACATTTATATGATGTTTCTAGTATCAATAATATTTAATTTAGGATTATTTTTGTAACTAGACATTAATATTTTTAAGTCATAGAGTCTACTTCTCAAATTATCTCACAGTCAGTAAAATAAATAAGTTAAGATCATATTTGACTATTTTGATTCAATTAAAATGATAAGTAATTGTCCTTTTATTTTAACCTATTCGAAAAAAAAGTTCCATATCTTAAGATAAATTTGTGAATTACCAACTGTGAATTCACAATTTGTATAGTATTTCTATATCCTATCTTATTAATATTATAAATGTGAAAGTTTCTATGTTTGAATGTTTCTCTGTCAATCACGCCGAGACTACTGAACGGATTTTGATGAAAGTTATGTTACTTTGATAATAGGATACTTTTTATCCCACTAAACATTTCTTAAGAGACCACACCACCAATGTTCGGTGCATCTATATCAGCCAATAACGAGCACAAAGCACCGATTTTCAGCCAAATATTTGGGGCAAATATTTTAATAAATAATTATTAAAAATACACGATAATAAATGTTACAACCAAACATGAGAATGGGAAAAAATAATAACACAAGTCCAAAATGAAAGATATAGACCTAGTAGTCCTAAAGAATAATTTATTTAAAATAAAATTCAACAGATTGAAGCATTTATAAACACAATTAAAATGTCATGTGCCTATATTTAAAAGTAATAATTGTAAGCGATGGGAGATCAAACAATCACCTTCTCAAACATACCTTTTAAATCTTTTATTGCTCCTTTTACTTTATACGCATTTAAAACTAATCGACAGAGCGCTGCCATGGGTCTACCTACTATACCTAAATTGAAAATTGAATTTAAGATATTTGGATCAGAATATTGTATAATTTTAGATTTGTGCAACGTATGTGGTGTTGTCTAATATTTATTATAATAATGAGTTTATATTGGTAAATAATGCGATAACCTTAAAGATAAAGAAGAGAAGTATCAAACTATACAAAACTGACAAATTTCTCCACTTCATTATAAATCTTAATGTATTAAAGGTAGAGTTCAAAATCAATTGCGGAAAAATGACATGTTATAGTGACCTGAGGTGTAAACGAATGAATAAATAATATACTATATAATATTCAGCTGCCTCATTTTAAAGCTAATAAGTAGACAAAAAGTGTTTTTAAATCTAGTAGTAAGTAAATTTATCAAAAGCAAAATTTGAACCACATCAAAACCTAGTATCTATCTCCGACAATTACAAAATTATGTATAATAACTAGTATGTAGATTTTTGAAATGGTCAAAAATAAAAGCAGTCTTAGAGGCTGTGATATAAATATGCAAGATCTTTCTAAAGCTTGATTATTCAGTGTGTGGAAGTAATAAGGGTATAAATCACTCAGTACCCTATTTGGAGGGGCAATGTAAAGTACGGATAATTCTTAACACACATTTAAATTGCTTTTTAATAGTTTAAAATTAGAAAAAAACGTATTTATGGTTCTGATTATTAATTTTTCTATTAAAAAAGTAAAAACACCAAATCATTATGTATAAATTTTATCTCATGTAAAATATATAGTTTTTTCAAGAATTCAGTGTAAGTAGTGCATACTTTTATTCCAGGTTTGAAAATTTTCAAGAGTTGGAATTTGTACAAAGAATATATTAAAGTTATTGTTTTACCGCTTTTACCCCCCCCCCCCCCCCTGTCTAGTTCCTTGAGAACAACAAACGCAGAAGGATCATTAGATATACTTAGAATCCTATCAATATTATAAACGTGAAAGTTTCTTTGTTTGGATGTTTGTCCGTCAATCACACCGAAACTACTGAACGGATTTTGATGATATTTGGTATACAGATAGGGTATTAGCTGACTTGATAATAGGATAGTTTTTATTCCACTAAATAGTTTCTTAGGGGTCCTTAGGGGTCCGCGGGCGAAGCCGGTGGCGGAAAGCTAGTATTATATAAAAGCGTTATTTTTCATTACAGTTGGCTTGCCAATTGCCTATATAAATACCAAATGTACACAGCTGACCAAACTAAATGTTGTCCAAAATAAGGCACCACGAAGTATTACTGAAGCAAGGTGTACAACACCAATAAATGCCATGGAATGTGCATCTTGTATTCCACCACCGATGTTGCTCAGCATTGCACAGATTAAAAATTGCTGAAAATTTTAGTCTCAAATTAATGGGTACAGAAAATAAACCTCTTTTTTATAGAATCTTACCCCCGGAACATCTATCAATTAACTAATTACAGGGTACTTTTCTGAGTTACTAAGAATTGTCATTTACAATCAAGAGAAATCTGAAAATATTTTTAGTTATAATCCGAATATATTAAAATGAACTTGTAAATATTATAATTCATAAGATAAACTGTTAAAATTATTTATCAGCTTTATTTGAAAAGCCTTATAAAATTTATACTGAGGAAACTAAAACTGATAATAATGTAACTCTATACGATCCACAAGTCAATAATTGCAGCATAAAAATATCTATGCAGTAGAATGTTATGCAATTTATAATACAGTTTTGTATAAAGGAAATATTATAGAAAATAAGAATAATTCAGAAAATAAGGTTTTAAAGCACTATATAAATTATTGAATTTTGTACATAAAAAAACAATTGTCTAAACATAAATTATCGATTAACCATATCTTGATTACCAGCATATGAGATTTGGCTACTGCAAAACTCCCGTCCATGTTCATCAGTGATACTAAGTGCGTCTACTGTCATAAAGAAAACGCTGACACACACCGTATAATAATGAAATGTCCACATAAAAATATACATGGTATAACTGTCGGTCCAGATGGGAGGATCCATACAGGCAGAAAACTTATCTCCGGTGTCCAGCCCGATCACACCCCTTCACAGCACCGAAGAGCGGGCAGGGCGAGTCAGGCATAGAGATGGAAATGGCCGCGAAACTTTCTTTCTCTGAGGAAACTTTCCAGAATACTCCCATAACTTATCCAAACATATAAAACATTATAAGTGTAACCAGATTCTAATGAATATTTTGAGTGTAACCAGATTCTATCTGGTTAGACTCAAAATTATAATTGAGTGTAGAGTTCAAGACCCACATTTTCATGTACATACATTTTTTGTACCAATCTGTTTATATTCTACTAGCTTTTGCCCGCGACTTCGTCCGCGTGGTATACTTATAGGCAGCATATATTTTCCAAAAACGCTGTTGTTTTTCAAGCTGATGATGAAATTACCTTGATGTTTAAGTTCGAAGATACTATAACAAAAAAAAAACAACAACAAATATCCAATATGTATCAGCACTTTATTTTTGAAAACTTTAGATATTAATCCAATCCAATTTAAAATACAGATGGCAAAAACAGTTATGAAATTAATCGAAAACACACAAAACTTAATCGAAAACGTAATCTACACAATATTTTTTAAAGAAACGTTAGCGCCGATTACTTTAGAGGTAGAATAAACGCCATTTAGTATAGAAACTATTAAAGGGTTTAGCCGGATACGTATGACGAGTCGGCCCCCAAATGGGAATCGATATTGAAACTTATGTTTTAATATCGACTTGATGTTCAAACACGATTTATATACTTTACGCGACCGACTTCCGCTTTGACCTTGAGATAGAGAGCAAAATATCCGTATGCTTGACTATTACTGAATGTGATATTTCTCTAAAGCTAATTAAGATAAAGAAGTGAAACTAACGCGAGGTGTTAGGTTACATTACAGAGTATATCACATATATTTTTTTTATAATTTTTAGAATAAAAAATTACATTAAAAAAATAAAAAATAAAAAAATCATGTTTTTTTTTCTGAGTTCTCTGTGACTTACAATCACGAAATTAATATGTGTTATGCTCCTTTGTATGCTCTATCACCCATAAAAATTGCGTGAAAAAGAAGTTGGTGCAACACAACGAAAAAAAATTATATGTGATTTCTGTCTTATGGTATACCCCTGTATTATAAGGTTTTCACATTACATCATTGTTTTTTTTTTCGAAATTTCACATCAGCTTGTTTTAAAACATAAGTAACTAGTCTTAAGAGATGGGATAATAGTTAAAAAAGAAATGAAAAAAAAAACAGCCAGCGTTCAATACTTATTATTATTACTTTTTCGTGTCTATCAAAATACAAGAAACAAACTATTAATCATCGTCACTGTTGTAATTAATTACAATCGGAACACTTTGAGTCGCAAATAACTTAGTTAGGACCTCAGCAGGACGTACGATTTTGGACAAATATCATCCATATGATAGACAATAAATAATAGCTGCTACATGAGAACAGCATCCCACTGTACGTTTGCCATTGGGGCAATCACAGCAATAACGAAGAATACTATTGTAGTCATTACCTTCGGTAATATAGTGAATGTAAATTCGATAGACTTTTCTATTTATATGTCTTGATTTTACTTCTGCTTTGATGATATTAGGTGCTGATTTCACATATTGTACTGAGAGATTATTTTGATCGTCCATTATTTCGGCCAAGTTAAATGCTGCACATTTAGAAGTAGAAGCTTTTTTGTTAATATATGGGATAAGTCGACACTTCTTACAAAAAATATCATTAACTATTACGATTTTATTCACACAGTCACTAAACACTTTAGCTTCTTCTTCATTCTTTATAATTTTTTTATAACCAGGAATCGTACACAGGTACTTGTTACAATTTTTACACTTTCTCGACATTATTACTTAATAATGATTTGGTTCGATAGTTAATAATTTCAAAATGCTGATACAAAATACCTATGACAGAATTTGAGTCCCAAACTGCCTTCTTGTGTAATACAAATGACTGCTACTTTAGCTAAACAAACGATGCAGTAAACAGCTCGATAACAAGTTCGAACTTGTTTGTTTATACACTCACACTACAAGGCGCGAATCACATATAATTTTTTTTCGTTGTGTTGCACCAACTTTTTTTTCACGCAATTTTTATGGGTGATAGAGCACACAAAGGAGCATAACATATATTAATTTCGTGATTGTAAGTCACAGAGAACTCAGAAAAAAAAACATGTTTTTTTTATTTTTATTTTTTTAATGTAATTTTTTATTCTAAAAATTATAAAAAAATATATGTGATATACTCTGTAATGTAACCTAACACCTCGCGTTAGTTTC